CCTTTAGAGAAAATAATTAGGTTTAGACATTACTTCCTATGAAGTTGGCCACATATATTATATTTATTAACTGGCCAAATTAACAAACCCTATTTAGATCAGGAGGTACGTCCGCAACAGAAGTCCGCTATTGGTCTTCCTGAGATTAGTATTGAAGAAATTCATATCGTTTGTTATCCTTTTTAAAATCCTGTTAGCTGACGAATTTCTGTGCATTTTACCTATTTCGAAGTTAATGCCATAATGATAAAATGGCAATTTTTGGCAATTTTTTTTAAATCTACCTGTACGTTAATGATACAATTTAGCTGGAATATGTCAAACTCCCTTTCCTTTTTATACTAGACAATGCTCTACCACAGTGAATTACTTTAAGGACCTTTGACGGCGTCTGCTATCAACAGTAGAAGCAGCCGTTGAGGAAGTCAGTCTTATGTGCAGAAAGTAATCTTCTGCGCGCTTCACAATTATCATGACAACAGTCACTGAACTGCATATGTTTCTCTTGCTCTCTCTCGTCCACCTGAACCACCTCCTACAAACCCTCACGTCCGTGCAGTCAGCATTTTCTTATGAAACCCTAGTCCCATTGTCCTCCATTTATATCGCAACTGTACGATAAACAGTATGTCATTTACCGCCTGCCTTGATGGCTCAAAAGGCCCAGAAAATAAAAAGCTATGCGAGCCGAAATGACTAGAAAAACTTCTTCGCTGCGCTCAAAGCTGTCTACGGTCCCACAGTGAAAGGAAAAGCACCCCTGTTCAGCACTGACGGAGCTACGTTAGGCACTGCAAAGACACAAATACTGGAGCGATGGAGTGAATACTTCCAAAGCGTACTAAACCGTCCGTCCACCCATTTCGGATGCTGCCATCGACCGCTTGCCTCAGATAGAAATCAACTATGACCTAAATCTATCACCCACGCCGGACTAGACCATCAGAAACGTGCAGGAATTATCCATCGGGAAAGCGAGATTCCTGCTAAGATTTACAAATACGGCGGTCAGCAACTTATATATCACCTCACCAAGCTCTTTTAGAGCATACGGCGTGTGGGGGAAAGTACCCCAGGACTTCAAGGACGCCACAATCGTCCACCTCTGCAAGCACAAAGGAGACAGACGACTCTGCGACAATCACCGAGGGATCTCGCTGCTCAACAATGCAGGGAAGATCTTTGCACGTGTCCTCCTATACCGCCTCAACAGCCACTTTGAACAAGGGCTCCTACCAGAAAGACAGTGTGGCTTCCGCCGCAATCGCGGCACTGCAGACATGATCTTCGCCGCACGACAGCTACAGGAGAAGTGTCAAGAGATGCATACTCACCTTTACGCTACCTTCCTGGACTTGACTAAAGCCTTCGACACGATGAACCAGGACGGACTCTGTAAAGTCATGCATAAATTCGGCTGCTCGGATCACCTCATCCACTTGATACGCCAGCTCCACGACGGGATGAGAGCACGGAATAGTATCCGAGGCCTTCGCAGTGACAAACGCGGTGAAGCAAGGGTATGTACTCGCGCCAACCTTCTTCAGTATCATGTTGTCTGCCATGCTGATGGACGCCTACAGAAATGAGAACCCTGGCATTGGCATCACTTACAGAACTGACGGGCGACTCTTTAACGCCCGACGTATGGAGGCGCCCACGCGCGTCTCTAAGGCCATAGTCCACTACCTGCCCTTCGCGGATGACTGTGTGCTAAATACCACAGCAGAAGTGGACATGCGCCAACTTTGAACTTACCATCAGCACAACTAAAACGGTGGTTATTCATCAACCACCACTCGATTTTCTTTGTAATGCTCTACGAATAAAGGTATACAACACTGAACTCAAAGTTTTGGACCGCTTTGCCTACCTAGGCAGCACGCTGTCCCGAAACTGCAAAACCGACGACGATACTTCTCACCGAATCTGCAAAACAAGTCAAATATTTGGTCGGCTTAAAGCCTCCGTCTGGAATCGCCACGGGCTGCAACTATCTACGAAACTCAAGATGTACAGGGCTGTCGTCCTCACAACACTCCTATATAGAGCAGAGGCCTGGAACGTCTACGCAAACGAAGCTCAAAACTTGAACCATTTCCACCCGAGCTGTATCCGCAGAATACTCATGTTGCGATTGCTATACGGTGATGTCGCTGAGAGGGCTCGCCTGCAGGGAGGATAACAGAAGCGCTACAAGGACACTCTGAAGAAATCTAT